AAAGAAAGAAAGAAAGAGAAAGAAAGAAAGAAAGAGAAAGAAAGAAAGAAAGAAAGAAAGAAAGAAAGAAAGAACAAAAGAAAGGAAGAAAGAAAGATCACATAGGAGTCAGAAGCACAGTAGACTTCCTAAAGCAACAGTAAAGCTGAATGATTTTGGAGGAGAGATTTTAGTATTATAGGCAAAGTTTTTTATTTTTGTTTTTGTTTTTTTAACTACATTTTATAACCAGCTATAGTATCAATTAAGTTTCAGATAGAATACATGCTTTTTACCCTGAGATTTATTCTAGGCTCCAGTCAAATAGAAAGCAGGAGAGAAACACTGTTCTGATATAGGAGTTAACCAGGAAAGAAACAAATACAGGATGCAACAAACAGGAAATCCAGCATGAGAGAAAAGGGGAGTAAATGTCAGGATGAAATTCTGGAGTAGATCTGAGCAGCATCCAGCCTAGTTAGACTGGCAGGAAGTCGAAGGCCTCCAGGAAGGCAGTAGCAAAGACGAACTTAAGAGCTAAGTAGAATTTAGAGGATTTTAAACCTTCTGTTAGAGATTGCAAGAGTTCACGACAGGGGTAGACAAACATAACTAAAAGGAAAAAATGTCTTTATTGTTAATTTGAAGAACAAATAAGTGCCAGAAAAGAAACGCCATCATAATAGTGTAACATTTGCTCACAGTCCATATTTACATGGTTCTAATCACTCAAATTCGGAATCTTAATACAACCCGTTTCTAAAGTCTATATACTGAAGGAAAGAAAGAAGGGGGAGTAGAGGTGAGAAGGTAGAAAAGGGGATACAAATGGGTCAAATCATCATCTTCCAAATAGGAAGTCAAAATAATGTATAAAACTGCACAATAAGGATATATTTAGAAATATAGAAATAAATCCCAGAAGAAAAGATAAAACAGGCTTGTAGTTAAGTTCAAAGATGAGGACTGTGTGTGTGTGTATGTGTGCGCGTGTGTGTGTTTGTGCGAGTGTATTGGAAGGAGGGGTGGGGCTAGTTATTTTTGTATTTCAATATAAGTTTGGTAATATTTCTAATGTCTATTAGTAGTGTAACATAAAATGTATTTTCATGGATTACTTTGATAAGCATTTAAAAATAATTTGGAAAAATTTATGTCATTTTTAAGTGACAGTGAAATTTTGGATAACAGATATCCCAAACCTACCCATAATTAGAAATTCAATTCTAGTTTCTCTGACAGCAGGATCTTTAGAACTTAATTAATATACATAAAGTGCTAGGGAGTATTCTTTTTGAAGGCATCTAGACTGTGCCATAGATTTTAGTGTCCATTCACACTTTGATGCCTACTTCTTAATTTTATATTTGGTACTGCCCACTTAACTAAGCTGTTGTTTGTGACCAACATCTATTAAAGAAAAACAAATAGAATAAATGATTCATGGAGTATGGAATAGTAACATTTTGAAAATGAAGTTACACTGATCATGTCTTTGTCTAAATAGCAGATTTTTACAAGATAAACTGAAATGTTCAAACTAAACAACTTCTAAGTCCAAGCCCACACACTAAAGAATCAAAATACTTGTGGATGGCTGTTGGATACCAAAGACCTGTTATTCCTTTCACTGTTTCTCTCGCCATTTACAAGTGAATTAGAATTATACATTTTGAGCAATTAATACCATCAATTACTTTTTGTGTATAACATGCTTAAAATTTTTTTTTAACATTTATTCATTTTTTTCAGAGACAGAGAGAGACAGAGTGTGAGTGGGGGAGGGGCAGAGAGAGAGGGAGACACAGAATCTGAAGCAGGCTCCAGGCTCTGAGCTGTCAGCACAGAGCCTGATGCGGGGCTTGAACCCACGGACTGCAAGATCAATGACCTGGGCCGAAGTTGGGTGCTTAACCGACTGAGCCACCCAGGTTCCCCTGGGTATAACATACCTTAAAGTAAAGATCGAGTTGCAAAGAACATTTAAAATCTTCTGTAGCTAGAGTGGTCACAGTAGGCAATTTTTTTTTTTCTTTTTAAGCAGAATTGCTGCTACATGAAAATAAAATTGAGAGCGGGGAGGGGAAAAATGTACCCAGTTATACTTTTATAAACCCTAGGTCAGAAATAATAATATCTAACAATGATGAAATATAAAGAGGTTTATTAGAAAATGTGTATGGATACAAAAGCACCCAAATAAAATAAAGAATTCCCCATTATACATAGGACACTGGTTATTTTCTCTAAGAACTGAACAAAGTGCCTCTCTCAGGCAATCCTTGTCACATCCTTGATTTGGACAATCACTACTGTTGTTATGTTTTATTTCTGGGTTCAGATGATGTTTTCTTATCAATAATGGAATTTTAGTTTTTCCTTCAACTTAATATTGTACTTATAACCCCCAGGTCAGTTCTGACTAGTTTACACCATCAGATAAATGTTCTTAGTTTCTTAAATCAATTCTTCCAGAGGTACTGCCCCTAGACAAATCCAATCTCTTTGGTTTATGACTATTTTCAAAATAATTTAGAAGTTCCCGTGTAACTCCTGACATGTCTAAGGACCTCCTATATTTCCCATCATGTCTTTAGGGAACATGAGGTAAATATTTCATAACACAGTCACATTTTGGCAAGTCTAATTGCTTTGGTAATGACATTAAACCCTTTCAATTTGCTTTTGAAGGCAGTATGTACTTTTGGAATGCAACATTTTTCTCTTCCAAAGATTGTGGCAGTTATAGAAAAATAGTAATGACTGCTTCTTTAAATAGAACAGCTGTACGTGTGGGTTTTCAATGCTAATGTTCAGTGACCACTAATTTCATATCTTACCAGGAAAAAACTGTATTTTATTCATTATGGAGTGAAGCACATTTTGAGACTCTTATAGCTGACTGCATGAAATTGAAGGGCAAACTGATACTTGCCTGAGCTCTGCGGGACAGAAATTTACATGCATACTTTGAGCAATTTTATTTTTACTATTCAATTCCTTTAATGAATTATGGACTTTCTCCTGGTTTGGTCATTTGGGACTTCAAGCTGCTTAGTATCCATACGGAGTATTACCAGAGATTACTCGGTACTCAGCGTGATTGAAAAGAGAGGCCTGTTCTCAGGTACACACTCATAAAGCACACCTTAATGCTTTAAATGTAATGGAAAGCATAACATGGCTATTTTGCTTTGGGGCGCTCCGATAACACCATGGGATGGCACATCTCAAACTACAAAAGCAGTTTCTTTTGGAATGTATGCAGAATTCTGATGGTTCGCTCAAACATGTTATAATGGCCAGCAGTAAGATCTTACTCTAATTCATTAAACCAGAAGATTATTTTGCTGGCACGAAAAATAACTTAAAAATCACACTTATCTCCTATGTTTTAAAAAAAATCACACAATATCAACAATAGTCAAATATTTTTAAGCTACAGATAGATATACACACACATGCATACATACATATACATGTGTGTGTATATATACATGTATACTTATGTGTGTACATATAGACAAATATCCATACACAGACTTAAGTGGGATTTCAGTGACTTCTGAAGGAATATTTCATTTTCCAATATCTTTAGGATCCCTACTTTCCCTAATTTTCTGTAATTTTATTTCTTTTTCAATTTTTCACAGCTGCCCTATAGCATTTTCCTTTTTTGTTTACTGTGCCGTCTTTATTCTACCCAATTTTCTCTTTCCTAATGCTTTGTCCACAATTTCTCTGATACAGATCTAATCAAGTTTTAACCTATGAATTCTATTACTCTGCTAAAGAGTCCCTTGGTTCTGAAATCTGAAGAAACATGAATATCATAGCAATGAGGTAGGGAAGCTGATGGCACTCCATTTACAAAGTTTACAAAAAACTCCATCTCTGCTGTTTTTCTGCTGGGCCCCATGTACTCATGCTCCATATTTTGCCTCTGAGTAAGCCAAGGAAGCTCTGTTCCCACTTCAAGGGGGAAGCAAGAAAGTTAATCCTTCTCTGAGTTTTGTCTTAGGGCCCAAACACCTGTTAACACCTAAGAAAAGCCAGATCCCAAACACATTCCAGGATGTTAGCTTCAAACAAACTTCAGCTGACACTGGCATTAATACCACCCCTTCTGTGATTTATGGAGTAAGACCTATTGTTCACCTGACACTTGCCTTTGATTGGACCCTACCCTGGATTCCTGGACCCTTAGACCCTTTTGAATATAAACCACTAGTCTCAAGCAACAAACAAAACTCATTCTTCTTTCCTTCAGAGTCTCCCACTCTGTCTGCTATTCTCTGTCACGTATACTATTCAATAAATGCTATTTTCACTTACTCTGGCTCACATTTGATTTCTACCCTGTGTGAAGCCAAGGATCCTTTTGGATGGTCCTCTGGGACTCTCTCCTGGGTTCTTGGACCCAGCCTGCCTGCATTAGCAAGAGAGTTTATGGTTGGTTTGTTTTTTTCCTAATTTTGATTGTATATATTTATATGTGTGTGTGCGTGTGTAGCTGGCTATTTTTTTTTTTATCGTAAGCTAAAACTGCAAATATCTAAATTTGAAATTTTTAAAGCAGAAGACAAGTGAAATGTATTTGCACTACACTAAAAAAACAAAACAAAACAAAACAAAACAAAAAACCAACTTACCCAGTGTCTTACCCATAAAAGATATTTAATAAATACATCAGAGTGGATAAACTTTAGATGGATATAATATCTCAAACAGAATTTGAGAAAGATGAATTTTTTTTTTTACATTCTGATGAAAGGGAAAATCCTATAAATATATATGAATAAAGTAAATGAATTATTGTTTCAAAAGTTCTATTTTTCTTCATATCACAGATTTCATCTGATGGATAGAACCAGAAACCAAGACAAATCCAGTCCTTCACTACTCACCATAAGTCATAAGCAACTGTCCTTCTATGTCCTGATGTTTAGTATTAAAACATATTTACAATGTAAGGAAAAGTATATATAAATAGCAATTTATAATTTAAAAGAGAGCTTTACCAAAGACAGTCAGTTCTGCTGGATCACTGTCTCTTTCTCCCACCATATTGGTGCCAACACAGGTATACATCCCTGCATCGCTTTTCCTCGTGTTGGAGATCATCAGTTTTCCACCACGAATCTGTTAAAAATTAAAAAAAAGAAAGAAAGAAAGAAGAGAAAGAGAAAGAAGGAAAGAAGAGAAAGAGAAAGAAGGAAAGAAAGGAGAAAAAAGAGAGAGAGAAAGGAAGGAGGGAAGAAAGGGAGGGAGGAAATGGAAAGGAAAATAAACAGCAAAGGGAAGGTGACTAATAAATCATTTTGAATATTTAAGCACAACATTTTTTTTTTCCCTCAAGGAAATAGCTCAGTGTCGAAGACAGAAAACTTTCCCAGTATTTTGGCATGTGTCTTTTCTTCTCTTAAATTCTCCTTCAGGATTAACCTCCATATTCCCTTTCTAGAAAATGTGTTTCATTCTTTCTCTCATCTGGTCCTATTTTGAGTCTTGTGAGTGCTTCTTAAATCTTAATGGTTAATCTTCACTCTGAAGTAGGTTGAATGAATTGCTATTGATAATTTGTTATCAGAAAGAAGTACTAAATACCTGCTTTTGGTAATATAATGGAATCCAACGGACCCAGAGTGATTCAACAAGCATTTACTGAGTACCTCTATGGGTTCCGCAGTGTTCTAGGCACTTGAGGTTCACTAGGAAACCAAATAATAAAAACCTCTGCTTTCATGGAGCTTACATTTCAGTTGTTAGCATTAACTATTTATGTCTTACCTTAGCTGTATATATGAAATAATTTTTGAAGAAGAGGGCAGGGGGGGATAAAAATAAATACATTTTTTAATAATGAGTATGAGTTGATACAAATCATCGGCTTCTAAAATGTGTTCCCTAAATGTTTCCTAAATGAGACACATTTATTGACTGAATAAACCAATGAAAATGTTAAAATGTTTATTTGTTAAAGAGGATATTGAAGCAGAATTAGGTTTTTAGTAAGTGTATCAGCAACTCATAGCTTCTTTTCCAATTTTGTTTCTTTGTATTTATATAATTCAATGATCTTAACATCACAATGGCCGAGTGTTCTTAAAGAGATATGAGATAAGAACATGCTGGTTTCCTCTGGCAATTTTTATCTCCTAGGCAAACAAAATCCACATAGGCATGTTCTCATCAGAGATATTTCAGGCTCTAAAACTTGTCATGTCACAACATGTCACAAAAAAAGGACTTTCAACTTTGTTTTTCCATGGGACAAAAAGGCCATCAACCTGTTCTTGATTAGGTACAGTGGAGTATAATAAACTATAAGTTATAAAAATGTCCATGGAGGCCACTCCTCCTCCCCCTGAAGCTGAGTTTGGCAAAATTACTTGATTTGACAGATGAAACTAAAGAAATGTTTCAATAGAAGGAAAGTGCTAGCACATTGAGACTTATGTTTCCTTGCTGCAGCTGGAATCTTGAGACCACTATGGGAACCAGTCTGAGCAGGCCTGCTGGAAAATTATAGGCCAAGAGAAGAACGAAGATGCCCAACTGGATGTAAGTCAATTGCCAGACATGAGAGTAAGGTTATCCTAGATCATCTGGCTGCCAGCACATCTTTTAAACAAGCCACAGAAGCATGAAAAAACCTAGCAAAGATCAGCCAATCTGGCCCAGAATGAAGAATTGTCATCTTACCCACAGAACAGTCTAAAAAAAATGGTTATCATAAGTCTCTGTATTTTGTGGTGGTTTGTACAAAGGGAAAGGTAAATGATGCAAACATGAACTAGAAACCCTTCTACATTGATTTAATTCTGCCACCAGGAACACATTTTCATGTTTGGTACCCAAACACAGACCATTGAGAGCCAAAGTGCCCCCAGTAATGCAGATCCTCATGCTGTCAAGAGTTTAAGCCAGAATCATAGGAATATATATTGTGATCCCCTATATGGCCTGTCCAGTTCTGTGTTATGGTGTAACCATAGTGTGTATGTAAAAAAAATCCTCATTTACCAGATATTTTTAAATAGACACCTAGACTATATGGATTTTTGACAGAAATGTCACATTTGCTCAGAGAAATGGACATTATTTTAAATAAAGTATATTTATTCTCAATAATTGTATTAAATATAAACATTGTATTAGGAATAACCTCAGAAGTTTGAGGCATTTCTACTGTTTCAGTGGACTGGTTCCCATAAGTGTCATAAACAAAAGTTGAGTGGATTCCACAAAACCATAAAATAATTGCATGTCTTTCCCCTTTTCTACCTCTTTACAATGTTCTGGGTGTTTTGTTTTGAATATTAATTGTGATGAACCTAATCACCAATTTCCCTTGAAAGCAGACTATTTTTCTGCAAGAGCTAAACTGCAGAACCATAAAAGTCATGTTTACTTTGATTTTACTTCATACCTCCTAAACTTGTAAATGAATTCATGTATAAAATTTTAGTTATAAACATTGAAACATTGGAAAAGGTACTTGAAGTACCTATCACCTCGAATCATTTTCTCTTATAATTTTGAAAATGGTGTAAAAAGAAATGTTCTAGGTAATTTGGCTCACAGCCATCATCTAACCTTTATCATTCATGTACAGCATGATCAATAAATGTATTTGAGATATTAAAATAAACCAAGTCATCAATATTGTAGTGCAATGATGTATGTATTTGAGATGTTAAAAAACCTAAGTCATCAATATTGTACTGCAAAGACATATTTACATATTCAGATGGGTGCAATTATTACTATATCATCTATACCTGAGTTGTTTAATTTCTGTCTCTTTGAAGACTCATCCTAAAGTTTTTTTGTTTGGGTTACTCCTTTTCAGTCCTTTCCACGATGTCTAAATGGTAATCAGCATTCAATGCTATTCTACAATTTTATTAACAATAACAAAAATAAAATGATCCATTTTAAGACTTGATATTCAATCTCTGTAGGAATTAATTTTAATTTAACTCACACTTATTCTTTCTTCCTTGTCATCAATTCGAACTTTGTCTTTTTTCCAGTAGATGGTGGGTTCTGGATGTCCCCTGGGAGGTTGGCACTCCAGGATTGCGGGCTCTCCAGCTGCCACTACAACATCTGTGGGATTTTGCCGGAAGTCATCTCGTAACACTGAAGAAAAATAATTCAATGTTTTTGAAAGAAAATTCAATGACAGCAACTTTCGCTTTCTCTTGCAAAAAGTAACTTCAAATCTTACTTACTTCATTTTAATAAACGTTGAATATTTACTGAGAACATAGCCATGTCCATTTTAAAATATTCTAGGGTCAACCTAAATGTTCAACAGGGAAATGGATGACTATGTAATCATGTACCTTTGGTATAAATCTAATTTAAAAAATAAGAAAAGCCTAAGGAAAATAAGAAAAGAAATACTTGTGATATAGTTTTGAGATTAAATATTCAAGGTACAATATTTTTTATGCAGTATGATCCTACTTTCTATAAAGAAAAAAACATATATACACATATGTATACAAATGCATTAAAATAAACACCTAAATTGTCAAGTTAGACTTAAAGGCCCAAAACAGGTCATGTGCACATGGTCTGTGAGCACATATGTATGTCAGTCTGGGAGGGGAAGTGGAGTGAGGACTTTTTGAGAATGCATTTTCTCATGACATGAATATGGACAAGATCTACACTGTTTTCATTACACTTCAGAAGATAGACTCATTGTTCACCCTGCAACGCACTAGCACCCACATACACAGGGCTACATTTTCATTCTCTCTGCTTCTCCACCTGCCAAGCGACATCTGGGCAGCGTGACATTCAGAGCAGAGATATCCCTTATAGCAGTTTGGCCAGTCTGAATTTCCCCTCCTTTCATTAGGAGAACAGCAGGTTGGACCTCCATTGTAACCTCCGAAAATCTGGCATGCCTGGCTCTCCAAATGTCACCTATCTATCTGTGTGTGCATTTCTTCTGCTGGCAGGATGAAAAGCCTGGAGAAATGACTTGGCCCTATCAGATTGTAGGATGCTGGGTTTCTTTAGCAAATAAGGGCCATGTCTATTTTAGGATAAACATTCAAAAAAGTAGTTCAGACCAGGAATATACCATATACCTCAACAGCCTTTGCTTTGTCTAGCTGCCTTGACTTTCCTATTCTTTTATATTCCAACAATGACAACTTTGTTTCCTAAGTATATCTAAAGGCAACACACACAACACACACACAAAACAAACATATGCACATACAGTGCATTATATCTATATCTATCTATCTATCTATCTATCTATAAATTGGTTAAGCTATTTGAAATCAGAATTAGGTAGATTCTGCTAGTCTGTTATGTAAATCATCTGTTACAAATGTGGATTAGGTCAAACCAACTGCCTTTGGTGTCCTATAATGAGACCCACTTCAGCACTCTGCTCCTTTTTGGGCAAAGTCTCTAGGTTAATTGTCATTCTACAAATAAATAAAAATTCCCTGGCCTGAAAATAGCTCCAGAGAGACAACTGAGTGACTTTTAGGGCTTTTCTTCTCTTTTCTCTTGCGACACATCCTTTAACACGGTTTTCCATCTTAATGAAGTCATGGCCCTTTTAGAGATTAGAGAAACTTGTCTCCTTATTGAAGGAACAGTAAGAAAGAATTCAGCACAAATTGCTCACTCTCAGCTTATAAGCTGATTAATTTACTGCCTTTGCTGCTAAGGAAATGTGTTCCATTTTAGCATGGTGAACTGCACATTTTTGGTTCTCTTGTCTCACTGGCAAGAGAGGTGTGATTTATATGCATAGGATTTGCTTCTGAATGGGCTGAGAGAAGAGTGCATTTGATGTGACATTCAGGCAGGGGGATGGGAAGGGGTTAACACCGTGGTTCCCTTTTGCAGGTAAATCCTCCTGGGAAAGCAAGCTGGTGACTCATTTATATTCTAAATACAGAACAGCTGCCTATTTATGCAATGTTAAGACATGCAAAAATATGGTAACAGAGTGGTGAGCACCCCTACAATATCCAGTACCGGCAACAAATGGTGTTTTGGCAGGCCCTCAATCTGTTCCAAAATGACACATCTGGCCAGTTGAAGGACCTTCTCTAGAACTGGTCCCCTAACAAATGACACGCCAAAAAGCCTCTGCTCAGATGGTACTTAAGGCCATTGCAAATCATTCAGAAACACAGTGTTACATCAATTTGCAACAAGCCAAATTAAGAAAGGAAAAAAAAAGGTCCTTTGACATGGAGGACAAAAAGGAGAAAAATATCATAACAAACTAAGGACTACTACTCTTAAACAATGTAACATGTGTTTATGGCGTTCACAAAAAGAAAATGACTCCAATTTGCAAATGAAGCCAAGAAATCTAACATCAACTGTAATTTTAGGCTTTCAGGCTATTCACCCAGAGAGTAGGGTGATATAATAGTATAATTGGTACTGTACCCTCTTCAACTTGTAAAATGCTCTTTGGGGTTTTTGGAGCATCCAGTTAATTCATTTTTTGCTTAGTGATACCATTTCTTTTACCTTAAACCCTTGGGGTAATAAAATGTGTTTCTTCTCTGTCTCAATAAAACATTCAAGAGAAACACATCCTTTACACCAGGTCCTAGCACAGAATGTACAAAACTTACTCTTAGGGAAAAGTGAAGTCATTTTTACTCTTCTCACACCGTACCAAAGGTTAAGTATGTTCTGATATTTGCTTACATGTTTCCGAGGTTTTGATATCCATTCATTAATATTAGCAAAATAAAATGAAATAATATTTATTATTTCCAATTTTTATGCTAGTTATTCATTTCTGTCTTGGATTTTGCCCTACACTTTATTGCAGGTGATAAAGAAAAAGTGTTCTTTGCAGTACAGAATTCATGCATGTGAGGTGAAAGGAAGTAAAATGGTCTTGTAAATGTAGGAAAGCAAAGCAAATCCAAATTAACTCTATATTTTTTTCTCTTTAAGCCCCTATTGTAGAAAGAATTGAGGGCTACATTTTTGATGTGGCTTGACAAATAAGCCAAAGCAAGGGCACACAGCAATATGTGAAATAACTAAAGCTACAAACAGTTCTTTATGTAGAGTGAAACAAAATAAAGTAAATAAACCTGATTAACTGAGAAAATAATCTGGTTACAATGACAAAAGCTTAGTGGATAGTGATAAATTATGCTTTAAAGAAAAAAAAAGATACAAATAGGTACAGTTTTGATATAGCATTTGTTTGTGGAGCTAAATTTAGATACAAAGGTTCAAATCCCCTGGACTGTTGGGGGGGGTGTCTAATTGGCTAGAACCCAAATATTCATTTCTGTATATGAGCTGAAAACCATAAATGAGAGTACACCCAGCTACTCATAATCTGGGTTAGATTTGCATTCTTTTTACATTGACATGCACTGTGACTTAGGAAGTTACTCTGGAAGATCAGAAAGTTTTGAATTACTGTGTGTTGATAAAATATAGTTCTTAGTCATGACATAAAGATTTGCAACAAATTAATTCAATTCTCCAGGAACATAATAAACACAACAAGGGACTTGGCACTGTCCTATAAAATGGTGAAGAAATACGAAACAAGCATGACATGATAATGCCTGTGGTAGGCTTTTTCTTTAATATCCCTCCCTCCTGGCATTTATTTTCATGTGTAATCCCCTTGCCTGTTCTGTGGGCTGGACCTAGTGACTTGCCTTTAATGAATAGGTTATTGTAAACTTATGGAATGTCATCTCCAATATTGGGTTATAAGTGATGATGACTTTCATCTTTCTTACTTTCTCTAGCTCTTTTCTCTGTCACTCCCTTTCTTCCTTCATGGAATTCCTTGATCATGTAAGGTACCTTTTTGCTCAAAGAAGAGGTCCATTTGACAACAATCTAAAGGCAGCTTCTAGGCAACAGCAAGCAAGGAACTGAGGCTTTCAGTCCAACAAGCTTCCTCAATCGAGCTTTCACATGATAACACAGCCCTAACCAACACCTCACTGCAGATTTGTGAGAGATCCTTAGAGCACACGACTAAGATAACTCATATCTGGGTTTCTGACCCACAGATGGAGAATAAATATATGTTATTTTAAGTCACTGAGTCTTGTAGTTTGTTGCACAAAAATAGGTAACTAATATAATGGCCTGAAAGAGTTTTAGATCTAGATGTGCCTTTACAGCTTATATCTTTGGCTCCTGTTTCCTCATACCACCTTCTTTCACTCACCAGGTCCTCTCCCTTCTGTCCTAAATCAACAGCTGTCAAGAATTTTAAAGACATATATTTTATATCTTTATATGTTTTATAAAGTATTTTACATTTTATATATTTTTTTTACATTTTTATTTTCTATTTTGTCAACATAGACAAAGCAAATCATGACTCAGGCATTTCCATCTTAGTTTATTAAGATAAACTAGCAATGACAATGAGATGAGGCTACATAATTAAGAGACCAAAAGATGTATTTCTGAATTACAATGTATGCATGCTTCTAAGTAGTTATTAGAAATACAGAGCCTAGAGAAATTACTGATGAAAGTGTTCATACACACCATTGGATAAAAAACATCACCCGCAACAAACTAAATTGATCATGAGAAAGGTAATCTAAAAAGAAATTATAATTAAAAGCATTGTTAGCAGCAGTAGAAACTGATAGCAGCTCAGAGCAATACTGATAACAAGGTTTCTTTGCCAGCAGGGTTTCTCTCTGTATGTGCCCAGAAACTGTCACAGCTGTGTGGCTCAAGACTTCTCGGTAGAAAACATACAGAGGAACGTCTAATTATCAATGTACATTAGCATATGGTGGTCTGTTGGGTTGAAAATCTCCCCCAGATAGCCCTTTGTTTCTTTACTTTTTCCTGTTCCTCCCTTCAAATGTATACCGTTCCTTCAGGGTCAGCCTCTGACTTAGTCAACTGAAAAGTTTTTCTTTCTATTCTCACACTGGACTAGGTAAGCCTCCAATAGGCTCCCATCTTGCAGGGCATCAGAAGAGCTCATCGAGTGTTCTTGATAGGTTGAATCGATGAACTCCTCTTCAAGAGGTGTGTTGTAGTCTTTTCCTTATTACATTAAACAAACCAAAATATTTTAACTTGATTTTAAAATGTTGTTTAGGAAGAACAGTTTAAGCTGGGTGGATTTA